TGTGCTTTCATACATGTGTATGTATTCTCTGATTCTTTAAATTTTTTTCGCTTGTTAAGTAGTGCGCGTGCAGCGTGCAAGGTTATAAGCAGAAACTGCATTCCGCTTGCACGCACAATCCGCACGCACAATTGCAACAAGTGATATATGTTTATATTTAGTAAATTACTTGCAGTGAAGAAATGTTTGCTTGAAATTATTTAAGAAAACATTATTTCTATTTAAAACATTTTTTTTAGTGTAAAGGACTTTTGCTATTTATTGGACGACATTTGAAACTTTTTGGACATATAAACGATTAATTTCTCACTTCTCAACGAGTTATGTGTTTGTTAATCTGAATTCTAATCATGAATATCTCACATATTCACATTAAGTTAAGAATTTGAGTGTTATATGTTATCTGACTTTAGTGACCTTTGGGAATTTTGTCATTATAATTCAGTGTTTATTATTAATTAACTAGCATCCTTATAATTTATGTTTTATTTATTGTTATTATTTATTTATTTATTATTATTATTAACAATTATATTGTCATATCTTCACCGAGTTAATTTTTCGTTTTTAAATTTTTACTTAATTTTAATTTGTTTGCTGAAAAAGACTACATAAATACGGCCAAAATGTATATTTATTTATACTTCATTTGTTTAATTATTTTTTTATAATTGCATGAAATGAGAATAAATCGTAAAGATAAAACAGCTTTACAATTAATTGTAAAACGTTTGAATACGATTGATGTGGCTCTTATTTTCTCACTAGATTTAAATATACGAACCAATAATGTTAAAAAATTTTGCATAGTTCTGGTGAGGTAAACTACTTCCTCCGCTGAACACGACTATTTATTTTACACAACACACAAGCTTTAATTTACTTCTAATTAACCATTCCATTTTCTTTATTTGTGATTTGCATTTAACAAGTCGAATATATTTTAAATTTAATTAGTCGCAATATTTCTGTTTGCGATCAGAAATCCGGATGCGTTTTAATCATCTCTTTTATTTTATATACGTCTTTATTATGCAAAGAAAGTTACATAGTGCAACCAAACTGAAAGAAACGGATGTTTTTCTTGCACAATCGCTAATTCGTAGAAGAAATGGCAATATTTTTTATCGTTCATTATTTAGCGACATATAATTATCTCAGAAATCATACTTTGACCCCCGTGATGGATTCTAGTCTCTTCCTTTTTTTTTTTCATCTTATGTACGCGTGTAACTATAAGTCCAACGTCGACATTGCTATCCACGAGGGGGGTAGTAGGGCGAGGAACGCGGTATCTTCTTATCGGCAAGCTTCAATTGCCGTCCCCCTCCCCCTCTCTCTCTCGTCATATATGATAGTAATTGCCACGAGAGACTTTTCACGTGGCGGTACAATGCACCATGTTGCGAATGAACGCAATGTCGTAGATATATCAATGGCAGCGAGTAATTTATTGTTATAAATACATAAATGAGGGGGAAGCGTAGAAATAAAGAAAAGAAAATGTCTCAGTTCTCGAACCTCGTCCACGTATAACACGATGATTAATTATGTACGCTGTTTTTTGTTCCCCCTTCATCACTTCTATTATCGGATATTTGCCAGTATAAAATATACAATTGCATTTTCTAACGGAAATGAGTTTTGAGACAGGAAATGCGAATGTATAGCGCGTGTAAAGGATTATGACACGAATTCTTTGTTTCGCTTACTTTATTTCTTGTTATTGTTATTATTTATTTCATATAGCTTAACGTATTATAAATATAAATTTAGTATCTTGAGTATGTAGATAGTCTACAATGCAAGATTAAGATAAATTGGAAGATATTCTTTTCTATTTATATATATTAAGAGTGTCTTCACTGCCCCACATATCGGAGGAGTTATAAACTCAATAATATAAATATAATACTTAATGTTACATAACAGTTACATATTGATGAGTGTAAATTGTATATTGATATTAAGTAGGTATATTACTTTTAGTTAATATCGCGTCTGCATATGTACATATTATATTAGATTTAAAATAAATTTAGCAATAAAAATATAAATCTCTTTTTTCACTTTTTCTCTTTCTCGCTAAGATTTAGGGAAATATTAAAATTAAGTTAGAGATAAATTCTCTAGATTTGAGCGGTATATTCATGGTCGATTCCTCGATAAACAAGAGATTTCTTATAGCGAATTTGCATTGCGCTGATGCATGTCGAAGGTTACGATACACAAAGTTATAGTTTAATGATGAAAACATTTAATGATGGATATATCATATAATTAAATGTTTTGATAGCAAAAAAATGCTTCATGTTAACACTGTCATGTTTTTGACAAAATATTATTGAACATTTTAATATCTATTTCTGTTTATATCTCTATAACACTCATAATTATATAACTGTACACAACAATGAGATGATTTGTTTTTTGCAATTGAATTTTTCATACTTTTCATCATTCTCTTTTCTCCTCAATATTTACATTATCTATTTATATTTATTTCATTTTAAATGTGCAAGTACAATGCTATATTAAGTTACAAAGAACAAACGGAATGGACGTTAGTTAAATTCACTATTATACATAAAAACATACATATATAAAATAAAAAATTCTTATTTTATAGGAGAACCTAACATTATGCGTACTTTAAAGCCTTAAGAAATAAAATTAAATGATTTTTCAGAATTCTAATTCTGTTAGAATAGCTTTCATGAGATTATTATATTTAATTAGGAGAGCAAATCATTATTTTAATTTTTTTTGTAATGAATTTTTATATAATTATTTTAGTTTCTCTCTACATAATGAATTTTTTGTAAGAAATATTTCGTCGATATTTCAATTAAAGTTCTAACATTAATTAAATTAAACTGAAACTATTAATTAATATTTATTTGTATAGTTTAATTTTTTCTTCAATTTTTTTATTTCCAGAATATAGATCACAATTTCAATACATATATAGAGAGCAAAATAAACGATATCCTTGACTTGCAGTATTAATTCTAATAATTCCAGCCGAGAATTATTAGTAGAATTTAATCGAATTTTTTGAGCGTACAGCACAGAAACTCGCAGCAACATATATATAGATTCATCGCAAAGATATTTTTTTGCAATTCCACATCAGCAATAATGTTGCAGCATTATTTAAAAAATATTAAAAAATGCAATGTCTTATACTGTTGCATTACATTATAAATAGATCATTATAACAAACACATTGTTTCCATAAACTTTAACCCTACATGTATATGTATTTCAATAAAATTGAAAATCATTGTAATATTACGAGGTCGTTGAAAATAGATTCATTATTCTGAGCCTCTTTTTGATATACAAATAAGTAGGCAAAGATAAAAACAGACAGAGACAAATATAAATAAAGACAAAATACAATATATATATATGTGATAAATAACTTTTTTTATTCATAGTACTACTAATTTCTAAGGAATTAGTTTTTTATTGTAACTTGAGATAGAAACAAAAACACGTAAAATAGCACGAATTGTATATATATATATATATATATATATATATGATGACATAATACTTAAAAATTATAAAGCTCCTAAAAAAAGCACGCCGACGTAACGATATTTACTTCTCGTATGATCACTCAGACAATACAAAGTCTAAAATTGTGACATAAGATATATTTGAGTCGTCTTTTAAATGTAAAAAGACGTCTTATGACCTGATTTTAGATACTTTTTTTGTTGACTGGGTACACTACCGCTCATAAGTATTCGAGAGAACGATAGATATTTATATATTTATTTACTCCGTTTTTTGAAGCTATGTAATAATATCTCATGTATTATACTGTATTGTTATCACGGATAATACTTATTAATAATTGACGCTGTTTTTGTTACATATATCTATTGATCATTGTATTAAATTATTGAAACAACTTTCGTCAAATTAACTATATCCAACTATTTTTAAATCAATATTACATTATTTCTTATCATTTCGTTTACCACATTATTCAAAGCAATCTATAAAATTAAAACAGATTGTAGCAGAAGAACGATCAAATAATAGGAAATATATCAAATATAAAATCGATTCAATTAAAAGCAGTTCGATGAATGTTGTTTCAATAATTTATAAATTTGCATACAATACAACCAACATAAATAAAAGTCAAAAGCGTCAATTACTCTAATTAAAGTATTATCTGTGTTAACAACAGTATAATAAAATTCAGAGTAAAATATAAAATAAATATCTGTCGTTTAAGAATAAATATATTTATGAACCGTAGAGTACGGTGAAATCGATCGGTGCAGCCAGACGTATTGCAAACAACAGGACGTCTGGCGATAACACGCAATTAACGAGACGACGCGACGGGGGGCTCTTTATCGTGATATTTACACGCCTGGTTCAAAATTCGGTCGCACGCGGGGAACAGACAGGGATGATGAGAGCAGAGTGGCGTCGTAGCAGTATCACGCATCGGTCAGCTGTACTTTGTGCTTCGAACCTAGATAACCTCTTCAACAGGCAAAGAGTGCCGAGTCCCCTCTCTGTCGGCAAGTGGAACAAGAATGCTGTATAAAGAGCGAACTCGAAGGCTCTCTCGTCTCATTTCACGCAAGTTTAAGTTCGCTAGTGACACATAACGAGCAACGTTCGGATTCACGTCACACAAAACACCGCCGACGACGTCTCGGAAAGGTTACTTGTGTCGTAGGCAGCAGAAGGAGGCGTAATCACGTGAACGAAGTTGTAGAGAGAGGGAGGTTAGGTCAGAGCCGTATCTTACTTCCGGCGCAGGTGAATTTAATTTCGGTTCAAACTGTCAGCAAACGGAGGAATGCAAAAGGACTGTCGAGATTGTCTGGGTATCCGGTACCGCATTAATTCCCTGGACCAGACTTGGAAGTGGTTGCATCAGACCATCGCCTTGCACGACTACCTGATCTCCATAACCGCCAGCCAGACCAACGTCTCCATGTGCTCTCCTCAGTAGAGGCCGCTTTTTGTCTACTGAGAAACAGAGATTGTGGATCCAAGACTGATCTCGCTGAGGTAATTTGAGTGCCTCGCAGTTCATTTTATCCAAGACTGATATATGTATATGTAATATACGTATATATATATGTGCATGTGTAACTTGCGTCACGGTGACGTTAAACAGATCAGGTAGTCTGCGATCAACCGCTTGCCCAACGCAACCAGGATATTCCACTTTGCCTTTACACGCCACACGCAATGTCTTTGTCTGCTAGACTACGTGTCGCTGTCAGGCGCTGCTCATCTCTAGACAGTGCCAGTCAAACTGCCAAGCAGATCACTAGGTACGCGTCGACCTTTAATGCACGCGACAACGATAATTACATCCAGAAGTCAGTATTTATATCGCAATCCACGAATGTGTTCGTCAACCTGGCATTGGAGCACTGGCTGTATCGCAACTTTGACTTTTCCAAGCATCACGTTTTGCTGTTCTGGAGGAACGATCCCTGTGTGGTTTTTGGCCGCCACCAGAATCCTTGGCTTGAATGCAACGTTCAAACATCCGAAAAGGCAGGCATTGCACTGGCACGCCGAAATAGCGGCGGTGGTACCGTTTACCATGACAATGGTAATCTCAACTTGACATTCTTTACCCCACGTGAAAGATATAATCGGAGATACAATTTGAACATTATCACAAATGCTTTGTTTCGGCAATGGGGATTGAAGAGTGAGATCAACAAACGAGAAGATATTGTAGTCAATGAAGATTGCAAGGTATCTATTGATATAAAGTATTTATAAAAAAATCATTTTATTTATATCCAGTAATTCAAAATTCATTATTAAAATACAAATTAATTTGTATGATCATATTATGTAATATATAATCATGTGTAATATAATGTATGTGTAATATAATATATATGTAATATAATATCATGTAATATGATTCAATATACACTTCAGGCTCAAAGTTGGCAAATTCTTTTAAAAAATTAATATATTTGAGATTACTGTATAAGCTATCCACAACAATTGATTTTTTAACAATAGATCCAAAAACTCTTATTGTAAAAATATTGTTAAAAACATTATTATTTGAGTAGTAAATAATCTAAAGAAAATGTCAATTTTTAAAAAATTGTCAAACTTTTAACCTTGTATTTATGTTACATAATTCACACGTTAGTAAAACACATTTCAACATAAAACAACCTTGTAGTAAAAAATAGATTTTTATCTACAGCAACTAATTGCGGAATTGTATTTTATTCGCTTCGAGATTATTTTAAAATTGTAATAAGATTCTTAATCATTAAAGTTATCAAAGTCACATTTCGAAAATGTATTATATTTTTTTAATTACAATGCAATATAGATATCTGGAACAGCTGCAAAGTTGGGGAAACCGAATGCTTATCATCATTGTACACTTTTGGTCAACGTGAACAAAGCCAATTTGAGTTCTATTCTTGAAAGAAAAGAGGTAAGATCTCCTTTCATATTGTTGACGCACACAGGCGTGTGGTTTCTTATAAAATAAAATATGTGTATTTGTATCACCAAATGATTCCGTGATGCAACAATATATCTATCAATATTTTTTTAAATTAATTCCATGATTTATGGACAAAAAAGTAAGGAAAAATAATAGATAAATATACTTTCAGAATGGTATCGTTACAAATGCGACGACTTCTATACGTTCTCCAATTATGAATTTGATTGATATAAATCAAAATATTCAAATGGATAAACTCTTATCTGCTATTGGCTGGGAATATCTGCGTACAAAAGCCCTCACTCTCGAAGACGGAAGATATGATCTGGTTGAACAACAAAAGGGATTCAAGTTTATCAATCCAACCGAAGACTGGTTCCCTGGTATATATGAAAAACAGCTCTTATTCTTTGAAAAATATGTTGAAAGTATGAGATATTGATTGTGAAACAATTATATATATTTTGTTATCAAATGGAAATTATCAAATATGAAATATGTATTAGTTAATTACGAATTTAAAATAATTTTATAAATTTTATTACCCAGGAATTGATAACTTCACCAGTGAGTTCCGTTCTTGGGATTGGAATTTCGGCAGGACTCCGAAATTTATGGTTACTCGCACGCTTGATTTTCCCGCTCACGATGGCAAAATATATCGCCTAAATTTGAGCTTGGAAGTGCAAAACGGTTTTGTGGAAGAAATCAGAATGAGTTTGCCCGCTGACTTAGTGTCGACCGACTTCGCCCAAGATGCGAGCGTGATTAGTAATATTCGCGGCACAAAATACAATCATGATGTAACAGAAAACATAATCGCCGCAATTGGTGGTAAGACCGCCACTGTAAATACGACCCAAAGCGTAGATGAGAACAATATGAGACTTGACGAGGTCACGCTACAATGACCCGGAGTCTCGAGCAATCACAATTTTGCTCCTAATGTTATTGTGTTCAAACGAAAATAATTAGTGATAAAATCATACACGTTGTATTATACATGTACATGTATAACATCGTGTCTATATTTTATATATATGCACATGCAAAAAACAAAAAAAAAGGATTATTAATCGCATATCATTGCAATATTTTAAACTAAAAGTAGCCATGTTCAAGATGATGAAGCAACTAGCCTTTTCGCCATGATTGACTTCTACTTAATAGAGCCAATAAAGCATGACGAGCAAGCTACTGATTTCGTCCAATTTGAACATAGCTATTGAAGAATGTAGTAAAACACGAGAGGGCTCCGTTAGCCCACATCTCGATAGCATATATCCACTCGCATCGGCTGGTGCCGATGTGTAATTTAACAATTTTTCACTGTTTATCAATAAGAATATTTTATTTTAAATTATAGCTTAAATTGTAGCCAATTAGTGATGTGCGCAATTGGATCCCTTTCGTAAAACGTACATCATCATAATTTTCCTATCGTTGATATTATTGAGAAATACGATAATGTATCAAATTTTAATTTTGTATTGTTATTGAATTAACTATTTTATGAATAAAATAAATTTTCTATAATTTTATCTTTTTATTAACCTTCTAATTTACGGATGTACTGTTAAAAGTAAACAAATTATTTCTTTTTATGATATCGTAACGAAAAGAAATTTTAATTTGCAATTTTACGAACTAAATTTAGATATTAATCAAAATCTTACAGAGAAATAAGTGTTGACATATATTTACAAATGTTCAAAAATTACGTTCGAAAGATAACACCATTTATTAGAAAACATTAGAGATAAGAATCAGAGTGTGTCTTTCGATTGTTAATACGTTCTATTATTTAAAATATTTACTATTTCTTGCTTGCTTTTTATTTTTTAGAACATTTAATTGATTTGGTAAAATAATGTCGAAGTTTTCTCTGTACAAAGTAATTTTTTATTACAAATCCATAACTTAGAATAAAGTCAATACCATTCTGTTTTTGTGCTTCTCAATACACTAATATCTCTTAAACGATAGAATAAATATGGAGTTTTGTCAAAATGCAGCATGCTATCCGTGCACTAAATTTAAAAGTGACAAGTCAGTCAATAACAATTTAGTAATATCTTACCTTTAAAACTTAAGTATATTCCGTACTATTTGTGGCAACATTATTATTTAAATTTGTATTAACTGAAACATTACAATAAAGTCCCGGTCGCAGCACAACATCACGATACGGTGGCGGTGGAGTATCTGGGCAGGATATTGCTGTATCATTAAGAGGAGAATCCTCAAATAGCCACGGATTCTGCAGCAACGAAATATTTTGAGCATCGTTATCGGTTTGTCGGCTACAACATATCTTTCTTGTGATCCAAACGTAAGAACTTATCATGCCACTCGCAATACCGAGTATAAATCCGGCTATGAGAAACCAGTACGGCGATATGGAATTCAACATTTTCATAAAATTTGACTCATTTGTCGTAGTAGCACAAGCGTTTTCACGCCCTGGTGTGGATGTAAAATGCTTGTTTGTCATATTTTCCATGATATTCGAGTTCAAATTTATTAAGGGTCGATGCTTCTTATATTTAACTTGTGGATTATAAACGATCATTTTTTCAAATTTCTTTGGTTCCACATTTTTTACGCATATCGCATGATACTGTATATTCTTGCGCATCAAATATATTTGCAAATCAAATGTAAGTTTATCACAGGTCCACGGATTTCTGAAAAAGAAAGAGATTGGAATAGTCTAAAAACGCAAATTGTTAAAAAGTAGATATAAATTAATAAACTATTTTTATAAAATTAATTATTTTGTACTTTATAGATAAGCGTACATTTTGCGTATGAATATATTAAATATATTGAAATATGTTATTTAGCTTTTATATGAAAATAAGAAAAATTCAGTGATACGAAATATACATAACATGTTTCAGCCTTGTATTTAGGCTCTCTTCAGATGTACAAAATTATAACACAGTGAATCTATAAAATTAAGATGTCGACAGTTTTGTTAAAAAAATATAATAAATAAGATAAGTGTTTGATCGAAGAAACGAAATAGCTCGTCAAACGGATGACCGATTGCGAAATTTTCTCGTAGTTCTAGTGAGAATGTAAAAGTACGGTATATAAGATCAGAACAATAATATAAAAACAAGCACGTCTCTTTGGTAAAAAAAACTCACCTCTGAGTTTAAAAAATTAAAGAAAAATATATATCCAAGGTACAATAATCTGTATAGTGATCGATGTCAATAGAAGTAAAAAGATTAATATCATAAATATGTGCATAACGTCCGATATATAAAAGTTAAGAAAACTGTCAATCTTTCTCGATGAACTCAACTGTAATATAGAATATCTTGGTAATACAAAGTCAAATCTTGTTTATAATCGGAATATACGATTTATGAACACACACACACACAGAAGGTCTTTATAAATACACTTATAATGTAATATTAATCCTTTTACTTCTGTTGACATCGATTATTGACGATTATTTTATCTCTGACACGGATTTCTTCAATTTTTTGAACTCAGAGGTGAATTCTTTTTTACCAGAGAGACGTTTTGTGCTTGTTTTTATATTATTATAGCTGATCACATATAACGTACTTTTATGCGGAGTCTATACAAATAGAAGTCGTAGCGATCGTATGGTCTTAAATCATAGAAAAAATTAATTAATCACATTCAAATATGAGAAGAATACTCGATTATGATTGGTCCATTTTTTACGACTTAAGACTCCATGACCGCTACAACTTCTATTGTAAACCCCGTATTATGTTCTCACTAGAATTACGAGAAAATTTTGCAATCGATTATCCAATTGTTTGACGAGCTATTTCGTTCCTCTGACCAAACACTTATCTTATTTCTTATATTTTTATAACAAAATCGTCGACGTCTTAATTTTATTGATTTTTACTACGTTATAATTTTATATGAAGAGGGCCTAAATATAAGGCTAAAATGTTATATATATTGTTATATATATAAATGTTATATATATTTCGTATAGTTGAATTTTTCTTATTTTCTGTAGCTTCTTTAAATTTACATAATTCTTTGTAATTTTTAAAATAAATTTAATACATTTGTGTGATGACTTAACTATGAAGATTTCTATTATTATTGTTTGACTCTTATTTTAGTCTTTTATATCATTTTATGTATTTTGAATATTAAGAGTCCTGTAATATTCTTTACTATATCTTTTATATTTAGTTTTGAAATTATATGTATACACAATGATACATATAAAGAATTATATACAAATTAAAATGTAGCCAAATGTTAAATTTTTCGATCAGATTATCTCTCTTACCCCTCTATTGATAATCTTCTTAAAAATTGTAATGTTTCGAGAGCAACGGTATCCAATTGTATCAGCAAGTTATTTGAAAGATCAAGAGTACGAAGACGCGAGAGTCCAATGAATGTATCCGCTGGTACATAACTAATTTGACACGAATCCAGAGTTAAGTCCTGCAGAATAAAATAATTTTTTAATTAAATGAAAATGTGTGTGTGTGTGTGTGTTTAGATCTTTTTTTATACAATTGAATTAATGATAAATCAAAATTAATATAATACTAGCTACAATAAAAGTATGAATAATAATATTTATACTTATTATATACCTACCATAAGGTAGGTATATAATTTTATATCATAAATATTATCTATTTTAATTGTAAATAATGTTTTTCATGCAAATACATGGTTAAAATATTAAATTATTTTTACGTTAATATTATATATTAATGCAATGTAAATATAATATTGATATCTCGATAAGAAATATTTTAATTAACATTCTCATTATTACCATGAGCCAGGGACATTCCAGTTTCGGCACATGAGAATTGAAATTGTTTTTAGACAGTCGTAAAACTCGTAAACTTTTTACTGGCATGAAAATATCTGACAAGAGATAATAAAGGTGATTCTTGGATAGATCTAAAACCGTCAATTCCGATAATCCATTAAAAGCGTTTAGGCCAATTTCGCTGATCGCATTTACAGATAAATTGAGATATTTAAGTCTTGTCAACCCTGCTTCCTAAAATAAACAGAAATTACATATGTTACAATATTTTTAAGGATAATTTATCCTTTTATCCATTTAACTTAAAAGTTATTTTTACCTAAAATTTTAGCTATATATATAATATGTATATAGAATGATAATTGAGAAATTGATGAAATTATAAAGGGCTATTTTGCAATAAATGGACAGAGAATAAAATGAATTAAATATTATAAAATATTACAAAAATATTATAAACTATTAAATAATTCGTATTAGCGTATTATTCATTATTCATTCTTATTAGCACGCATATCGTAAAGGTGTAAAGATCAAGCTTTTCTACTCACAATTTAAAAAATTTTTTTTAATTCAGAATCATTTTAATTCTTCTAAAAAATATTCTTGTTGAAAAATATTATTGTTATTTTAATTCAAGTAGCTTTATTTGTAGCTGTCAAAAATTATTTTGAAAAAAACTATTTTACCTAATTAAATTAATAATTAAAACTTTAATTTTTAATGTTAACCGTATCGTAAGAACTTCAGTTTTGAAGATAGCAAATAGTTTTACACAATGTGTATTCTTTACGTAATTTTGAGAAATATTGATAACTACATATATGTGTATATAAAAGATAAAGATTTTTTAAACTTCCCGATTGTCATCCTCTGTACGAGAAAATTTTAAACAATATATAGTATTATTTATATTGAAACTCAATTTTATATGTATAAATTTTTTTATATTTCAGTAAAAGGTGTGTTAACTATATTTATCGTTATTGAAATGTTCACTAACAATGCGAAGAATATTAAATATTCTTTTTTATTGTTTAGAAACATTAATTTCGAACTTATCTCTAGTAGGATAATTTATGGTCAAAGTGTCCAAGAGCTCACATTATCACAGGTAAAAGATTTTTTATCGAACTAAAGGTTTTGAAAGCGTCTCAAAGAAAGCTTCAAAGAGTACCTAAGGAGTATGAATAAGAACGGAAATTTTCTAAGTCAAGCATCCATTAGCAAAAAACAGGTTCAAATAATACAAAATGTATTGCAGATGTGTATAATTCAGGTATACAAGTAGACATAATAGAAATTTATTTTATATGTATATATATATATATATATATATACTATGAAAAATTTTGACCATAATAAATTATCCACCAATTCGTTATTAAAGTTTCAAAACGACAAAAGAGAATATTTTTCATTCTTAGCATTTTACTTTTAGTGAATTTCTTTAATAATAAATGATCAATATATTTTTAAATTTTCATTTCTATACATCAAAGGCCGATATTCATAGTCGATTCTTATATTGAGTTGGGAAAAAAGTTCTTTTACATTTGTGTAATTTAGTCTGAAGACTTAAGACTCTCGTATGGAATGCCAGAGATCCGAGTTTCCGGTCGAGGTAATATTTCGCAAAATTAATTATTTACAGATATTTAATATGTCATTCAACATTATTAAGATCCAAGATGCTACGAGCATCAAAATTGTTAGATTGTTTTAACTCGTGATAGTACCGCGGTAGTTTATTAGAGTTTGCGTTGTAAGTCTGAAAAAAATTTCGCGCATTTAAGAATCTACGTACGTAGTATATAAATTCAAAATTAAATTCACGAAATTATATTATATATTAGAAACATCCAAGGTCGAGCTTAACCGTTACGGCATGTTCTCATCGGTATTTAGTTTAAACTCTCACAGTCCAATAAGATTTGATATTGTATGTAATTTAGGAACAAAAAAATCGTAGAAACAGTTTAAAAAATATGTAAAGAGCAAGTGATTTCGATAATGTCAGATAACGTAATGTAATTAAAGTAATTAATTTTTAAAATGTAATTAAACACTTTTTTTTAAATTTATTATAAAAAAATGATTTTGTATGGAAAGTTACTAGTTTTCACGATATAAAAGTAGTCGAAAATTTATTTTGGGCAATTCTTTTTGAGCACGTGAAAGACCTACAAAATGAAAAGAAAATGTTTCAATTTTTCAACTCGTAGTTTTTTATATGTAAAAATTAACAAACTCACAGAATCTCAAAATATATAGTAATCTTTCAAAAACAGATTTCAAGCTTTAAAATCCTTTGTTTAAATTTAAATTTTGTTCATTTAAATTTTTTTAATTAAAATTTTTTTTCACGAGAGTAATTTGATAAGTAACTTGGTTCGCACAGTAATAGAGAGCAACAGCGACATGTATACATGTGTTTATTAAGTGTCTTTTTTATGGATGAATATGGTCGCAAGTCATTCAAAAATTGACAACAAACTGCGATTTGAACTGCTTCCGCATCCAGCCTATTCACTCGATCTACTTCTCCCTCGGGTTACCACCTGTTCCCAAAACTCAAGACTTTCTGGCTAGATCAAAATTTAGATCAAATGAAAAGATCATACACGAGGTAAACGAGTATTTTGAGGGCTTCGAAGATCTACTTCCGCAAAGGTATCGCGACCTTGGAGAAGTACGTTGAATTTCGAAAGGACTATAATATCGAAAAATAAACTACGTTACAAAACTCTAATTGTTGTCTTCAATATCAAACCAAGTTATTTATCAAACTATCCTCCTAACGTAGATATTGTAAAATAAAAGTCCTTTTACATATAATATAAAAAAAACTTTCTTCTCAGCCCAATATTTAAGGTTGGCTTAAATACAGTTTTAAGATATCATAAGCCAATCAGAGGGTCGTATTAGCATGTCAAGATATTACTTTAGATGGTCTTAAGATAAGAACCGACTATGAATACCGGCCTAAGTCTCTCGCTAAATACAGACGGCTCGTACAATACTCACAGCTAATTCGTAATTATTTAAAACAGATATGGAGTTATTCGACAGATCCAAGGCTTGCACGATGTTCGATGCACCTGTATGAATGCTATAAAGATGGCGTCCGGTGCACGAAGCGTGCTGCAAATTGTACCAGGTACCGCATTCGCACAACGACGGGCACCTTCCCGAGACATCGAATGCGATCTCGTAGAGGACGAGGACGATAAGCCAGATCCCGACAGCCTCGCGCGTCATGATGCAGCGCACGAGATGGACGAAGAGCCGAATTCGACGGTCTCGCCGTCCGACATTATCACTTCCAAACGTTCTCGTATCCGATCGGATCGTCGTCTCGTCTTAACCGGGCAAGAAACTGTCGTCTACTGGACGTAATCTTATCTTAACTAAGCGTGCGGATGACGAAGCGTGTATATCGGGACGCGTCATATCGTCTTGTTATCCTGCTCATATATCGCATACTTTCCAGGAATCTGTGTGGCGCAGAGACATTTTATTACCAACCAAAGAAGAGGAGGAGAAACTACTTTGTCAAATTCCGTAGGAAAAGACAGAACTAATTGCCGACGAAACACAAAGCTGAGTTTCGCGAAAACAGAGTGTATGCGATCATTAATTTCATCCGTTTTACCTGCGGTGACAATAAAGAACTTCTGACCTGCAACTGATCATTCAGGAAAAGGCATTCAGGAAAAGGCATTTAGGAAAAGGGCTGTCTTTTTTATATACTTAGAAATGTTGTAAGAATGACGAAGCACGTTTATCAAGCGCGAACAATGGCAATGACCGATCGTAAAACGAGACAGTTCCGGGAAAAAATGTCTTTACCGCAAACCGAAATAAAGGAACTACCGTGATAAGGCGGTCCCACTCACCCGACTTTAGCAAGACAGTGCAAACTTTCTCTAAGTTTTCATGTGCTGTAAAGGCTATTCAGATGCTGACATCGTATACGTATTCAACTTTTGACACACACAAGATGAGAAACGTTTGCGTATAGAGTTACATTGTTATTTCCTTGTGTTTCCGATTACGAGCGACTTCATCTTTAATTCAAAAATGAGAGGAGGAAAAATGAGCTTCATTTCAATTTAATTCAATAACTTTTCTAGATACGAGTTGACGTATTTTGTACAACAGGTGTCTTTTCGCGGTTAATTGATGTTTAAATAAATACGTAATTCATACCGCATCGAGATGAAATTTCAACGATAATTGCTACAAAAATTGATTCTCGATGCACTTTTGCAGTAAATTTCATTTGTTAGTAATTGTAACAATATTTGAGTTAGCTAGATGACCCAAGAAGTTTCATGAAGTACAATAAATTAGTGTTTCGTTGTTTTTTCGATAGTATTATTAGTAACGATAAATCTATTTTCGAGACTAATAATCTCCCGGTGAATAAGTGTGTGTAACATGCTTCAAGAAGAATAAGCAGATTATGCAATGAAATATAGATGTATATTTTCTTTATTTATACTTATTTGTACTTATCTAAAAATCGTTTATAACAAGTTTATACACAAGCCAAGCTAAATGTTTATTGCTACATGAAAAATTTGATAGACAATGAAACAGACGATTTGAGCTCGCAGTCAGATCAATGTTAACGAAGACTAATTACATATTTTATAGAATATAATACATAATTTGAATGACAGTTAAAAATATAAAAGTTAAGTCGTTAAATTGCTCGAAAATTTTAACTCGGACGTCAACTACAATAGATAGAAAACCAACAATAGTAATAATCAATAGTAAAAATTGAATAAAATGTCAATTCTTTCGGCAATCTCTCTTGTGTGAAAATGAATAAAATTATGCTCATCCTGTAGTTAATTCGTCATCTGTTATGGCCGAGGAAGAATCAGGACAATCTCGACATTAAAATATACAAATTTTCTTACGCAGCAGTTTTACATTGGGGTTATGAAAGAATTTATTTATTTATCTATTATCAACAGAATTAACGTAATGATATTTACGCTAGAAATCATGTAGTTTTGCGTATATCAATTTTTCTCTTACGTATAAATGTGATCTATCAACCTGGGAAAGCAAACAAGGAAGGAAAGAAACAGATTTTACAAAGCGCTCGCAATATACGAATTTTTTCGACAGATCGAATGCAGAACTCTGAGCAAAATCTACCCTACCACTTTGCAATTACTAAAATGGAACATATCATTTGAATGATTACGAAACAGCAGAATCTGCTTGGTTTTTGCTAGAACGCCAAGCTTAACGCGGAAGCAGTGGATAATAATCTGTCGGGATATCATTTTACTCGAATCTGTTAATAAACTATTAACGTACTGCAGTCAACATCCCGCTTTTCCTGGAAATTTCTGACATTCCAGACATTCGTCGCGGAGTAGCCGCGCGACGACGGACTTGAGTTATAATCGTTTGTTGAAGGAGATATCCAGATGATGGGATCACAGCGAGTTAACGAAGGGAACGAGAAGAGTCAATCGAGGATTTCAGCACGAATGACCGCTCATTATCCTGCCTTCGTACTTAATAATAAGGGTCAGTGATTACCGAGCTGACCAACGAGGCGCGCATATATTGCGCAACGTCCACGGAAATAAATCTAGGATAGGCTGCTGGGAACGCCGTGGACCGTTGCCTTCTATTTCACCGGTCCGCCTTCTCCTCTCCCCTCCCCTATACGTTCGACCGTCCCCCTCGGAACATCTTCCGGCCATTTTCATCGCGCGTCCTCCGAGCGCCGCCATGACGATCTCGCGTCCGGCAAAGCGACGCATCACGCACCTTCGCGAATCGATCGGGGACAATTAACGAATCGGTGACCCCGCGTCACGCTCGACGGACGAGCGTCGAGGAAAGAGCGCGTTTATCATATACGCGTCGTTATATATATACGCCGGGAACGGCACCGAGCGTCTCGTAGAGCGTCGTCTCACCCAGCTCTCGTAGACCATCCACTCTTCATCGCTGGCGCCCTCAGCTGACGCCGTCAACGACGTGTTACCGGCCTGTAACATCGAGATCGTTCTATACCCGCGCGCGATGCAAGGCGTCGCTCTTTACAAACGCGACTGGAATGGTACATGCGGTTAGGACGACAACACGCTCCTTATCCTTTTGTATTCCGCGCTGTCGTTGCGCAAATGCCTACCGCTGGCGAAATTATATGTACGACATACTCCACTTTGTGGATCATCGGACGCCGCGCCGGCGCGCGGCAGACCCTCCACTCGCCGCGTGTCGTCACCGAGCGACTCAGCTGACGCAAAATGGCCGACCAGCACTGACAGCTGAAGCGGAAGGCACGGCTTTGCTCTGCGAGAACGCGACGCGGAGCACGGCCGAGATCGTTTCGGCGCCCGATGCGCGTGCAGACGATTCCACCCGGCGAACTCTCGCCGAAATATGACGTATTTCGCGAGGAACACGACGCAGGATGGTATCGCCGGGGCGAGGGGGGACAGGCGGCGGGAGTAGGAACGTCTCGCGGAGCGAGGGGGCTTTGCCCGCCGCGCAACGGCGATCGGTCGCTCGCGTCGGCGGTTTCGTCACCGGGCTTCTCAGCTGACGGCGAAAAACACAACCGTCCGTCCGCGCGCATAGGGCGTGCGTAGCGTCGGCAACAGCTGATCGCCGCCATGACGGATTACGATTAAAAGTACCGTCCATGAGCCTCTATTGCGTTGCTTCCGTCCTGCAACAGTCATTACGAGAGAGCGGAGAATATTCTCGAGAGAGAGAGGTACGCGCGAGCGCGCGCGCGCGCGCGGGCGTGTCACAAGTCGGCGTCGTTTCGCAGAAACGCCGGGAACGCGCGGAGTACGCACGCTCGTCGGCGCGGCAGCGGCGGGGGGGGGTGGGGGGTTTGAGGGAAATTGCGCCGCGCGGGGGCCGGGAGGGGATGGAAGCGCGATGGTGGAGTGGAGGGTCTGGGCGAG